GGGATATTTTGAGTTAAGGGACTCAATTGGAGTCCATACAATAGTTGAGGGATCAAAATAAAAATTTAATCTATTTATTTTACAATCTATTATATTATGTGTAAAAAAATACTTTTTTAAAATACATTTTTGGAAAAAAAATTGTAAATAGTTCGTATTTTAAATGGACATGTCCACGTCATCATAGGCAACTGCAAGTACCAATGGACTTTCCCAGGTAGCTGACACGTTCAAACGTCTTCTTTTTTCGTCGTTTCGGCCGATATACGAAAGCCATCGAAGCAAAGAAAACAAAGCCTCGTTCAAGACCTCATAAAATTACACTCAATTCGAAAATCTGATCTAATCTACCCGTTTTGAATAGAGTTATAAATTTTATATATTAATTTGAAATTACTTAGAGTGAAATTATGGAGTGAGTTCGGGTGATCCAAAATGACTCAAATTTTTTTTTATTTTTTATTAAATTATTTAAAAATTAATTTTAATTTTTAATTTTTTAATTTTAAAATAAAAATAAATAAAATATTCAAACCTTAATCTCTTATCAATTTCACAATCTCTTATCAATTTCACTTTTTCTCAACTTTTTCTCTTCTCTACTCACTTTTCCTTTCTTCATCGTAAACTCTCTAATCCTTCTCTTTTGTAATACTCGTGTAAAAAATTAGATTATGTGATATATAATGAGTTATGTTATATGATATTATAAAAAAAATCATTTATTTTTAAAATAAAAAGCAAGAATACCTACTAGAAATTAAAACCTAGTGGTTAAGGTATCTTTATAACCATTAGAAGTACAAAGATAAAAACATCAAGAACATCAAAGTTTGTTTTTAGTTGCTAATTTGTTCTTAATTAACAATTTATTCCTAATTAATAAAAATCAATTCCGATCCAATTTCTTTTTGTATTTTATTAGACATATTTTGAATTTATCTTTTAAACTTTAATATTAAATAATGCTATATTTTTTTTGTATAATACTCTCCTAAATATTGAATAGAATTATATTTTTTATATTATACTCTTATAAATATTAAATAAGTACTAGATATTAATATATATTAGATTTGTTTTTTGAACTTTAATCCTTTATTTCTTTTTTTAATAAAAATTAATACTTTTATGAAATTATGTATTTTAAATATTATATAAATATTTTATATTTGACATATATTTTAGTTCCATTTATATAACCACTAATCTTTTCTCTTTTTTTTTTCTTGAAATTGAAAAAAAATTGAATTATGCAATGAAAATTAATGTTTAATAAATTTTTTTAACTAAATAGTTAATTAATAATAAAGTTTTTAAACTAAATAGTTAATTAGTATTATATTTTATTAAAGAAAAATAAAAAAAAAATTTTAATTTTAATTTTTTAAAAATTAAGTCCATTCAACCTAATCTAAGACTTATGTGAATAAGTCATAAATCAATTTTTTTAACTCGACATTCAAAATGATCAAATCTAAACAATTCAAGATCTACGGTAACGCGAACTCTACCGAGCAGCTTGATGACTGCACGTTTTTTTAAGATCGATAGATTATTTACCAGAGTTGAGAATCAAATATTCAATTACTAATATCTAATAATACTGATCTAGTAAACATTTTCCTTATAAAAAAAAATCTACGGTGACACAATTCGATCCTACCCAATCGTACCTGTTTGCCAGCTGTACCTGTTTCTGTCTGCCTGTATTCTTTTTTTTTTTTTTTTTTTTTTTTCGTTCCTCTCTTTCTTCTTTCCCTTTCTTTTTCCTCTTCCCTTTCTTCAACTTCTGTAAACCCTAATATCTCAACATCAGCTTTGAACCTAGCAATTTTCAACCCTAACATGTCTTTCCTTT